TTATTTGAAATAAGTACTTGGTACAATTCGATTCTATTTTCATCACTTTATCGTGTGTTGGCGTATACTTTTTACACCTTCCATATCCCTCCTTCTTCGACATAAACAAAGTGTTGACAGCCAAAGCTGTTTCTGGTGGATAAACCCCCAGGACAGTCCGTTAGTGCTATGCCTGCTTGTGATAGCAAATTATTATTTTTCTCCCTTTATGCACCACTATTCTTCTCTACTCAATCGCACACTTCTGTATTTATGCATAAACCAACTTCAGCGTTTTGTTTTTTCTTGTAATTTTTATGCCCTAAACAGGGTGTATTAAGTTTGCCAGGATGTTTGTAATACCCACAAGAAAAAGTCGGATACCCTTTAAAATATATATCTAAATAATCAGCGTTACGAGCTGAGTCGATTTAGCCATGTCGTCTGTCTATCCGTCTGGCTGTATATACGCGAGCTAGTCCCTCAGTTTTTGAAATATCGATTTCAAATTTTTCACAAGTCTCTTCCCAAGAAGTTGAGATCACTATAGCATTTAGCTGCCATACAAACTGAACGATCGGAATAAAGTTTTTGTAAGGAATATTTTGTATTTGTGAAGGGTATTAAAGCGGTGCAACCGAAGTTAACGTTTTTCTTGTTTTACGTTTTTTTGCTTTTGCATTGAGTACAGACTGTGCTACTTCAGCAAAAATGTTTGCATATCTCTTTTTATTCTTTGCACCAATAGTTTGCAATGCAAAGCAATGATTTCTCAAAAACAAAGCGGAAATGAAACGAAGTCACAATTATTATAAATACCGTTGGCTTGGTAGGCTACAACTTTTGAATGCCTGAGTGTTAGCACATTTGCATGCGTCGGACAGTTGGGGGGGACGGGGTCGTTTATAAGCCAAAGAAATGGAGTGAAAGAGCTTATGGATGGGTCGGCGAAACAACGGAAACGGCTAAATATGCACACGAATGGTAGAGAAATTAAAATAAACTGGTTTAATGGCTCAGAAATGCTTGATCCACTTTGTCGCTGAATGCTGAACTGTTACCGTTGTTATAACCGGTTGTAACTGTATATTACATGCATATACATATGGTATGTATAGTATTGTGAGTTACGTACGATTATGTGTGTGTTTAACTAAAGCTTATTGCATAACAACTGGCGCAAACTGGATAAACCTAGAAACAGGGAGCACAACGCAGCGCTTTATTTAATTACCGAGGGTTTCCTTTCCAATTGGCACATTTTTTAAACAATTTATATATTTTAATGAAAAAATATTTACATTTTTCGCTTGCAAACAAGGCTTCGTGCATAATAAAAGTGCAATTAATACATAATTAAATGTAAGAAGTGTAATTAGTCAGTATTGTGTTTTCCGTAAATAGAAATCCGTAGCAGTAACAAATTAAAAGTGGATAATGGTTATACCGTTCAAGTTATTAATAAACGAGGTTAGTTGTAACATCTGTTATTATTGTTTTTTTTTCTTCATTTTATTCAAATAAGTTTATATTTTTTCTCGTTAATTTTACCGGATGTCAGTTGTAGAAGCTATTTGGAAGAAGAGAAGATAGAATCATCACAACACTTCTTTCTTTACTGTCTCGCTTTTGCGAGATCAAGGCTTAAATATTTGGAACTCATACTTTCAAATATCACGCTGAGCTGGTTGAAATATGCATTAAGCAGATTTATATTGCACTTTGTCGACTTATAAGCTCTGTTAACAGGAGCTTTATTTTATGGCTTCACAAAGGATATATATACTGAATACAAAGTAGTCCAAGTACGATAACCCTCTTGAGAATCAGCCATTGAACATAACTTAACCTAACCTAACCTGAAAAGAATAAATGAGAAAATAAGCAATAATCAAAAGCCTTAGCTAAGATACTACAACCATTATAAGTTGAAATTAATTGACCTTTTTGAGCTATCCAAGTAGTTTTACGTCAATATTTGTGTACGTAACCTTAAGAATAGTTATGAGATGACCACTAAACTAATTTCAACCCTAATTAAGATACGAATAATAATCAAAATAGTACACTTTCTTAAATGAGCAAGTAAAAATAAACACTAAGGTTGAATAATATGGAACCGAACGAATACTTGGATGTTAATTTGAAAAAATCAGAATTGATTTGAAGAATAAGAATCTTATATTCAAGCAATGCAATTAAAAATCACATGTACCCAATTATTTGTATATACTACATGGGCTGAAAAATGCTTGGCCTTGCACTAACAAAGGCCACAAATGAAAAATCTTTGTCCTTGTACGTAGAATACTTAACTAGAATACTGTCAAAGTTTCTTGACATTCCATCTAATCGTTCTCTACAAACCGTTTTGGTCGCAGGGTGACCCTACCTCTGCTGTACGATATTTAACGGTCAATTACTAGCTAAATTCCGCCATGACTATGCCAACTCAAAAGACGCAATCCGCTTAGAAAAGCCACAAGCGACAATAAAATCGGGAAAACATTGCGAAAAGCGTGAAATTTTGACAGGTGGCTATAAAATTATATGAGTAAGTTAACATCATTGGCATCTCAAAGGAATGCATAGGTTATACCATTCACTCATTCAACTAGCAATACGACCGATAAATTGAAAGAATTATGATATGATATAGTCTCCCACTCTCCATATTCGCCAGATTTTGGTCGTCAACGACTATTTCCACTTTCTCAGCCTCAAAAAGTTGCTCGCTGAAATAATATTTCACTTAAATATGGGGATGGAACAAAAGCTTTTTTGGAGGCCTCGAAGCTACCCAATCAGTATCGAAATGTTGGAGGAATGCAATAGCAAATACGTTACTTTAGATGGAGATTATGTCGGAGAAAGAGCCATATTTTAATTCAAAAACACGTTCTTTCATTGTGAGAGAAACGATTTTTCAGCCCTTGCAATATACAAGTATTTTAGCGCACAACGACGACTTTTTGAAAGTTGTAGTGAAAAGAAATTGGTGTTTTGGTTAAAGTTTCGAATATTTTGAACATTTCAAGTAATTTTATTGCTTCGAAGAAATAAACGAATATACAGTTATTAAAAACAAGTAAGGAAAGGCTAAGTTCGGGTGTAATCGAACATTTCATACTCTTACAACTTGTAACGGATGGGTTCAACTTTATTGTTTGACGAAATCGTGAATGGATTAAAATCAAATTTGGTATTATATTAACTTATTTTAAAAGTCATAGTCTCCTTTTGTTTATTACTATATTTTACTTCCCGTCAACGAATATTATACTAAATTCATTGGGGGCAGAGAAACGGAAGGGCTGATTGCACTAATTTTTGACATTGCTCAGGTATACTTGGGAACTAATTTTCAAGCAATTTTACAAATATATAAGATATATGTAGTATAAAGTTAGCTGGAAGTTCGAAAATCTTTATATTGGGTATATGGGGGCTCAGGGAAATATTGACGCGATTAAAAAAATTTTTGAAGTTCAACCATATATCTCACATATTGACTGATTTTTCGGCAAAAAGACAGCCATACGCAGTGGGATCCACATATTCGGCGCCCGGGTTCTTCAAAGTTATGTTCCGATCCCAACAATGGGATACCGTAATCAGAAAATGGTTAATCACTATTTTTTTTTCAAAATCAGATAAAAGTTATTGGAATATAACTTCACTTTCTTAGTTTCTTCACAAAGAACGCAATAGCATAATATAAATATTTTTTTTCTAAATTTTCTATTAACAGTGCAGCAGGCGTTCCCACAAAATTATTCTACAAATGTCGCATAGAATATCCCGAAATTTGATAGCAAATCAAAAACACGAGGGGGCGGTGTCGTGAATAAACGCAAATAAATGTCACTACAATTTGCTTGTCGTTTATTTTAGGACAGCATAAGTACTACTTAAGCAGTGGTTTTTGGTAAGTGTTGACGCCAGAGAGGCAGTCATGTGCGCGGTATGAGTTGCATTACAGAGTTCGTAATATTTTTTATAAATAGAAGTAATATTATATAAATGAAGTTTTAATACAAAAAATAAGTGTTTCTGTATATATCATCAGCGTATATTTTTAGGGTGAAATGAATAGTATAGAAATTTACTGAAAATTTACCTGGTGGCCTAAAATATTTAAAGAGTTTTTATTAAAAATATAAATTGCTACGCCAATGAGTTTTTATAGTATTTACGGCCATAGAAATTAAATCCATAATTCTGGTCTAATAATCACATATTTGCATATGACGCCGACATGTATGCAGCATTCATTATCTAATATGTGAAATAAGTGCATGTAGGAATTGCACTAGAGTTCTGCAACAATAAAATAATATTTCATAGAACTATGAAAGTGAAAAGTAGCGTAAATTGTGGATAATATATTTCTCTAAGTGAGTGCATATTCAGGGCAAACTAGCATTGCCTATTTTTAGGCGCACATGCTTTTTAATAATAAATTTTGTCTATTTTAAATTAGTTCTGTGTAAAATACAACGGAACTATTTAAAAACTGCCGTAAACTACCTAAATAACTCTATAAATAACAAAATATATAAATAATTGACATTTTGAAAACAGTATGTCGGTAAGAAAAAATTTCGGAAAATATTATTATTTCAGTTATATCTCAATTTCACAAGATTTTACAGTGCGACAATGTTGCAGCACGTTCATAAATATTCAATGACACATTAAAAAGCACCGAAAATGTCACTAGTATGACAGCTGTCAATTACGTTGTCCTTAAAAATTCATTTAGTGATCATGGCACGTGCAACCATAGCAGCTGTTTTACGGCAGATTTTTCATGCGTTCTTTTGATGCCTAATATTTTTTAAATGGATTTCGCTGCAGTGGGCTGGTCTATTCTAATATTTTATGGATTTCTATATACACTTTTAAATTTGAAGCTTGTGGATACATTGACATTCAAACTGTTTTGTTTTTCCTCTATTTTTCTTTGTTTGTCTGGTAACTAAATATTATTAAATATACAAATATGTATTTTCACTTACTTTCAACAGTAAATTGTACGGCAACAATTGGCTGTACATAACCTTCGATATTTTTGAATGGGAAATAATAGCCGGGGAAACCCATGCGTGGATAGTAATCGCGTGCCTTAATATTTTCTACATCGGCAGGGTTTTCGCCTTCGCAGGAGATCCAAACGACACTGGTCTGTAAGAGTAAAGTAACAAAAAGTTGTAATTAACCAAACTTTATTATAAAGTATATAATATATATAATATAATATATAAGTTCCAAATAGGAATATATATTGAGACATAAGCCCTTTTTTGTAAGGGAGAATCAAAAAAACACTTAACTCAGAAGAAATTTTCCCTGAATATAGTGACAACATCCAGAAGTCAAACATATATTCCGATTCTATTATTTTTGTTGATATTTTGAGAGCTGTCGGCTCTGGTTGTTTAAAATCTACCCAGCCTTATACTTGAAGTCGCTTATTTTTTATTAGACTAAAACCAAGGTGTATCCTTTTACTGCTTACAAGAAAGCGGTGCCAAGACTTTTCCAACCTTACCAACTTCGACAATATAACCGAGTTTGAGTTGTCACTACACCTATATACATTTTGTTATTTTAACAATTGTTCTTTTCCCACTCGCTTATAGGAAGTGATCCAATTACGCTAAACTCAGAAAAATAGCCGAGCTTGTGCTATTATTCAATACAAATTTTAGTATTTTAGCGAGTGTCCTTTTGCCACTTTTAACGCTTGCAAGAAAACAGGACTATAATTTTTAGAAATATCTTATTTTAAATTGTTTTTATTTGTTTTTCATATTCACCTGATTTGGTCGCAAGCTTTCCTTCTCTTTAATATGGTTCTGCAGTTCGACAGGCATATCAACTGGTAAATGTTTTGAGTCGTTGTAGATAGTTGGTTCCCAGTTGTAAATCTGTCCATAAAAAATGCAAATAAAATATTTTAATAAAAAAAATTTTTCTCGCTTTGAAGCAAATATACTTTTCTACCTTATTCAACTTCAGGAATATGCATGGTCTGGCCTGATGATAGCCGAAGTTGTTCTCCTTTGTGCATGGAGCAAAAGCGTTGGCATCAAAAGCGCAAACTTTACCCTCTGGTGGTGGATTTTCGAATGAACAATTCACTTGATTCTGTTTTGGTAGATTTTCATAGGCTGTGTATGGTTAAAATAATATTTGTAAATAATTATGAAATAATGCATGAGGAAGTAGGAAGAATGCATTTTAGTAGGGCAATAAAAGTTGGCCACTTGAATTAGCAATAAGTTATGGCTCTAAAGGAGTTGTTATGTAATACCGAAAAATACTTAATACTTAGGACACATTTTTAAGCAAATTAAACTACATGTATACACTAGCAAAATTTTCTTTTTAGCCAAATTTAGCATTTAGCTGAAATTCTAGCCCCTGCTATAGCAAATATTAGCAGTTACGGATTTTTCATTTCGACTTCATCTACTACGCACACTTACTTTTAGGTACAGCTAGAAATAATGCCAATTTCAGCATTGAGACAACATATGTAATTAAAAATAAAAATTTTTTTGGTAACTGAAAGTTTCAAGTTCTCTATATACATATGAATTGAAAAGTGTCGAAAATAACATAACTTTGTCGCTCTGTAATATTTGTGTTTTAATTTTACTAAAATAATTTTTTTCTTTTCCTTATTAACGCATTTTTTTCAATTTCAGTTAGGAACTAAAAAATCGTTCTCTCTATTTTCTAAGGAGAACAATGTTAAAATATCTCCTAGGAGGTGAATTCTTTAATATTGAAAATAATAGCACATTTTTAGAAAGAAAGAAATTATTATAGAAATCTGTAATTCAGACATTTTTGGGAGACTTTAGAGTGTTAGAGTTGCCACCCTATTTATGTATTAAAATAGTAAAATTATACAGCACTTGTGCTAATTATAACGCATTTGAGCTTTAGATTTCCGGAAATACTCTGAAAATCATCGATTTGGATCTAATCTGAAATAGAGTTGCCACGTAACGAAAAAATTTAAGATAAGCAAATAAAAAATATTAATAAAAGTTGTGCTAATTATATGGGGATTGAGCCTCACATTCGCGTTAATCGTTTTGAAATCTTCGCTTTGGAAATAGAGTGGCTATCTAATGATACAATTTAAGATAAGCAACTTATTACTATAGCTAGAGTAATACATTTAAAAACTTAAACATTTTTAGAAAGAAAGTATTTTAGAAATATTTAATTCATATATTTTTAATATATATGCCACCTAATTTTTGTATTAAAATAGAAAATTTTAAATATTATTAAAATTGCAAATTACAAGACTGGATATATTCTAAAAATCTTAGATCTGGACCAATTTTGAAACACAGTTGCCATCTAATAAAATATTCAAGAAGAGCAAATTATTACTGCGACTATCGCAAGACGTTTAAAAATGTTTTCCTACACATTTGTTTCTGAATGTCTTCAATTTGCTTTTTTTTTTGTAATAGAGTTACCACCTACCTATTAAAATTTAACTCAAATGTTAAAAAATATTTTCGCCTTATTCGAAGACTTATATTCAAAAATTCCTTTGAACAAAAAAAAATGTAAAATTCAAACTGTAAACGAATTACCCATTTTAAAATACCAAAACACTTAAGCCAGTCCTAAAACATTGATAGACTAACATATTTATTACCAATATTGCACACAGAATAATGAAAACAAACGTCGAAAATATCAAAAATAAAATATTAATATTAAATTGACTTAGACTTACATTGAAGGAATGATGCAGTTTCATCGACCCAGTATTTGAAGTTTTCGGGTCTCGATTTCTCATACCAGATTAAAGTGCTCTCAACATTTGCCTCTGGGGGCATTGGTCGAAAGCCAAGACCTGAAAACAAGAAAAATACGACACAATTTTCATATATTAATAAGCATAACGGTTCTATTTGAGATATAGTTTCTGTTTGACAATGTTCTCAACAATTTATCAAACAATACAAAATAAGTATTAAACCTCAAATATCCTGAAAATCTTTATTTAAACAATATTTGGAATAGAGTTGCCAGCTATAATAAATTAAATTAAACTCTTTTCAGTTCGACAATATACCTCACCAACGTGAATAAAAAATACAAAATAGGTATCAGACTCTAAATATTCTGAAAATTTTTAATTTAGAAAATTTTTGAGAAACAGTTTCCACCAGAATGGAGTTGCCACGTATAAAAAAAACATAACTGAGGAAAATGTTGCTGAATATGTACTAATAGACACCATTCTGGTACGTATTGATAAAGTTTTAATTCAGGCAAATTTTGTAATAGAGTTGCCAACTATAAGCAATTAACTTGGAAAAAGTTTTTCAACAAGTGTATGAAACTCAAGGACTTCAAGAAAATCTCTTTTTTTTAAGTCAGATATATTTTGGAATGAAGTGGCCACCTATCGAAAAAATAGCTGAGGGAATTAGATTAGGTAAACTTTTGAGTTAGGCAAATTTTGTAATAGAATTGACACCTATTCAAAAAAGTTTGAATAATGTGGAAAAGGTCAAATATTAATGAAATATAGTATTTGGATAAGCTTTAATTTGAACATATATAAAATTTTGTAAAATTAGTGTATTATGCGAAGTTCAAACGTGATTTGTAGAAATTTTTCTTGAAGTATTTAATATTTAATAAGTAGATTTTTCATATAATTAATTTTAATTTTCCGGTTCGATATATATTTTTTCGCATAGTTCCTCATACGCCCCACCCCACATACACCCAGCATACCGAAAGTACTACCCACATTTAATCTTTATTAACGGCAGCTTATAAATTATAAACAACAATTTTAGTAAATGATTAAAATAAAATCCATTACAAAATAGCTATAAATTTTCAAGCTTATAAATTTATTTCCAATCCTGCAATTAAAGCTACTTATTACTAGAACGCTCCCTAGCACAATATTCGCACATTTCCACCACCAATTGTTTATTTGAAGAACCTAATAAAAATTCAATATGTATACACACCCACATCATTAAAAATCCTACCCAAAATTGCTGGCAATAAAATAAAAAAGAGCGTGCTCTCGCATGCGATGGCTCATATAGTTAATCATACGCTATTTGTGCATACAAATTTTGGTGGCGCCGGGAGTATCTAAAATTATTTATTTATTTTCACATTGAGCGATGTAAGGCAATGAAGTATATTAAATTAAAATACATTTAGAATTCTCATATTCATGCACACAAATACTATTTGATGAAGCAGGCACGACCGCAATGCTATAAATATGGAAATTCCACGCCTGACCGCGCATAATTTTTGAAGTGTTCACCCTATCACCACAAGAATTTAAAGGCAGCTGAAAATTGTTTATTGATTTCCATTTTTTGAATATGTATGAGTCAAGTTAAGTAAATTTGCATTAGAATAAGTCAGGTTTAATTATGAAACTTTTACTATACCTCTTATATTATTAAGTAGTGCAAGAAACTAGAGCAGCTTAACGGAAGTTAAATTCAATAAAATTTGTTAACGCTTTATTTTTTTAAAAATCGAACATAATCTAGAAATTATGTTCTCGAAGCTATTTAGCGTTATAAAAAGCCCTTCGAATCGTACGAGTATGACTACCTATCAAGCTCGGCCTTTTGAGCATACATTTTTCGAGCTCTCCCTAAAAAATCCTTCTTTCCTAAAAACTAGTAGGTCTTAAAATACATATTGATTAACATCACCAATTAGATCAATATTAAAGACTCAAGGTCCAGAGATTATCGATTGCTTATTAATAATACCTTGGATGGTTGGTCAGTTGAAAAGGGGAGGCGCAAGAACGGCCGTACTTAGGCCAACCTTAATTGTGTTCTCAAATGGCAACAAATTAAGCCTTATTCAGCAACTCAGTAGATTTAATGAAATACCAAAACTTTTTCTCCCCAACTGCCCATAATATTTTAAGTTGGAACATTAGGAGCCGTGAGAGACATCCTGTCTCAACCGGCTGAAAACTGGACATTCGCAAATGTAATGTTTCCGCCAGGAGCCTGGTGATGATAATGTTACTTAGTTCCATCTTACCTAAAATTAGAAGCATTTTGGTCTATCCACCATCATCACTACTCCTAAGTAGTTTTCTGGTATGCCCTGTTTTGCTAACTTTCGAAGACCAAAGGTGTTCTTCTAGAGTCCATTACTTCAACCCTTAAAGGAGCTGAATAGTCTAGGGCAGCTTAGGGGAATTGTATTCCTGGCTGTCCTCAAGCCAACTAGTCCTGTTTTTCGTTCCTTCTATTCCTATATGACTTTTACCGAGTTTTCCACTGAGAGTCTAGTTATTGCCTACTTGCATAACCAAACGCAGTGAGACATAGTATAAGCGCAACAGATAGCCTTAATTGCTGCTTGGTTATCAACTAATAGGTTAATGGACTTACTGGTTAGAGCAGAAGCCCACTTTAGGTCTTCTATTATGCTAACAATTTCAGCCTATAAGACTGAATTGTAGTAATTTAGTTTTAAGCTACCTTCTGCGTATTGATTCCTACATAAGAATACGGCTCTGGTTTCTATTTAACTCTTTGATCCATCGATGAATACATGGATTTCGCCATTGGAACTGTCGATCACTGGGGTATGAAAACGTCGTCTTTACCTCAGCATGGACCTCCTTCTCTCGGTCGCATTGAAAATTTAACCCAAATTCAGCAACAAGGTATAATACCATGCTCGCAGTGACGCCGAGCTAATGAAGTTTCTTAGCAATTCAATGCAACAATTTGTTAATTTAAGCTAATGATATTATTGAAAAACACCTAAATTTCATAAAACCTTCGTAAAAGCATTTTGGAATCCGCTATCTTCGTCTGACATCAAATTATGAGGTAAATCATAATAATCCCATAATTAAAGCTTTCAACACCTAAATTTTTTCTCTAGAGCAGCATCAAGTAAAGTCAAAACAAATAATTCCACCCCTTTCAATACTTATATAAATATAACAGTTATTCAAATGTGTTCAACTTACCTGGGTTCGAACCAATCATTCCATCGCCCAATGTCCACTTGGGTTTATCCACCTGAAGTGTTTGATAAAACACAGCCAACATGGCAGCGAAGAATCCAGTTAACGCCGCATAAAAAATAATGTAGAAAAATAAAATTTTTGCTGCAAAGAAAACGAAGGACAGTGTATAGGTTATTAGTAAACATTTTAGAGTTGTGAAACATTTATGTTAAAAGTAATTGGTTTTTAAAACAATCGTACATATATTAATACTTTATACTGATAGCTTCAATTGAGGCATTCTTAATTTGTATACAGATTTCCAGTCACACCCTTTTGGAACCTCCTTGATAAATGTAATTTTAGCATCTCATACGATAGATCTCAACAAAAATATTAATTATTTACAGACCTGCAAGAGTAAAGATTGAAGGCTGCAAATATTTCTACCACTTATTTTACGAACTCTATTAAAATATACTGTTTTTCTACTTGTCTAGCACAGACATATACCGAAAACTTGCCAATTGTAAATCTTTTTGGTATAACATAAAGTGAGATTATTATGGAATTTTCGCGGCTTTTCAGACACAACGAAAGTACAATATTCTTATCTGCTCTATTCCTATATTATATATTTCAGTACGTATGATGGTGATTATAACAGTATTCTCTTTATCCATTCAAAATTCCACTGTTTTGCTGTTCTTTCTCTAGATTGTATAAAGGCATCGAATTGGTCTGATGATGAATGAACATGATATTCCAGCCAACTACCTTTTCGAACTGAATAGAAAATTAAGAAGTAAAGTTTCCATGTAAGAACATGGAAAAAAAATGAAACGGAGACTAGTAGTAAAACTTTAGAATGCTAAACACTAGGTGAAGAAGAAGATAACTTGAACTACTAAGGTCCATTCACACACAATTTTCCTTGTTTTGCGTAACAGTTTATGCTGGTAACAGTCATCAACGTTCCGACCTTCTGTACTTACCGCCCTTATTAAATGAAATTTGTCAAATTTGCCCCCAGTGACAACGTAGAAATCAGTTGTTCTCTTGTGTTTATTTGAGCAATGTTGCCAGGGTATGCCACAATGACCGCTTTATTTTCAGTGTCTCTCTCTAATAAAAATGGCGAATGTTGCATGGTAAAGCGTAAAAAGATGAGAGTTCCCAACATTTTGATTGACTTCGCGTCGTAAACTTTGTATTTGAATGTACTTATACAAAAGCGTAAACCGAACTTTTTCGTCAAAACAAACGTCCGGCGCGAAGCGAAGCAATAGATTTATGTGAGTTGGTTGTGATGAGCAAGTAGCCTATGTCGAAGATTTAAAACCTCAAGTACAACTCATGTGTTATGCTAAACTCGGATTACATGCTTAGATAAGGGCATCTAAAATTATTTGGTGGGGTTTATACAATACAAAATTTTCATTGACTGATAAATGAGCAATGCAGAAGGATCCTTTTTCGAAAAAAAAGAAAAATGAATTGGAAATATTCTATAAATATTTCTTATATTCAATGTATTTAATCAAACATCAATCCATGTCAGTAATATGAGTTTTAATTAAGGTATGATTTATTAAAAATTACCTTCGTCATTGATTTCAGTTAAACTATCAGAGACCCATTTACCCAGCGTATTAAGTATAAGAGCCAATCGCCCGCATACAACTCTGCGGCACTATTAAATTTACATCAAATGCATGGGCGAAATTTTAATATCCCACCAGCTGATACTAATCAGATTCACTTCTGGCGCCATCGCATTAATACAAGCACGCTTCGCTCGCATGCTTTTCTAATGTATCTAAATTGATATTTGAAAATTTTGTTGTTGTCATTTCAGCGGCAAACCCGCAAGCACTTGCAGCCGCGTTCGCGGTTTTCGAAAGCAAAGTAAAGCCGAAGCAAGTATTGCTGCGTTGGCTTAAATGGTGGCAGCTGTTTGTATTTATAATGCCTTTCCAAGGTTGTTACGCCGATTTGTGCACAATAATTATTTTCGTTCAGTTGTAGGCACTGTGAATTTGCATTTTAATTTACAAGCCAACGATTTCCGAGCAATTGTTGTTTTTTATTGCGTCACGATTTCGAGGTTATAAATAGGAGCGTACGAAAGATAATCAAGATAATATTTCGGGAAATTTTATATTTAAGGGAATGTCGTGATAAGTTATATCCTATCTATAGTTATGACCTGAACATAATATTTTTTTAGCAAGCGAAGGAAACGTCGAATACCATATAATAAATTATAATGAGATATCTTGGCATGGATTATTGTCCAAAGCAACAACACAATCTCTGTAGAAATTGTTCAGATCGGACTCCTTCACTTCCTTACTCCTCATAAACTGACCGATCAAAATCAAGTTTTTTTGTAATTGTGAAAGGTATTATAGCTTCGTTGCCAGCAAATTGAAAATTTTTTTTGGTTTTTTCTCTCTCTAGCAAATAATTTATAGGTTTTCGGACTTACGTAGATACAGCTGATAGTTAGTATCTTTTTAATCTATTTATAGTTTTCTAATTCACTAAGAACTAGAGCTGATATTTTGTCTACTTATCGTAATATTTCAACCAAAGCCATTATTGATTCCCCTTTTCCAAACTGACTTGGGTTACTTAGAGATTAAAATGACTCTATAGGTTACTTAATACCAAAAGAGGTTCGTTTGCAGATTAAAGTAAGTAAGTAAAGAATCCAGAAAGTCTATGTACGTTAAAACATCCCAATAGGTTATATATTATATCCAGTAGGTGCCTAATCGAAAAATATTAAAGGTAGTGATCGGCGAAGTAATACCTATAATAATATAAGTATTGTTTCTACATGTTTTTTAGTCAATCCATGTGTTTTGGTCAGGAAGAATAATATTCAGAACTATCACACGTTTGGCTTAATAACAATGCTCTTGTCATTTTTCTTTATGTTGTTCGTAGGTGGCTTCAAAATTTAAATCTAATTGTCATATGTGGTCACTGATAAAGAGTCGTTTCCTCAGCGTCAGCGTTAGAGCAAACAGTTCGTTTTATAAATATATTTTAGTATAAAAGTTTATAACTCGCAAAGTGCAATTGTGGCTTCGGTTGTTCAGATATTTCAACAAAAATTACAGTCGAAAGTATTTCCTAATGTAAAAGATATACTTGCTCGGTATGTTGACTACTTCAAGACTGTCCTCAACGCCATCGAAGAAATATATTGAGTAAGGTTATACCTATAAAAAAGGGTTATGTGAGATAATAGTAATAGCGCTAGTATCTCTTTGGAGGAAACAGAAAAAGGGTAAGAGCTGAAGAGCAGAGAAGAATGGCTATGCCCAGTTCAGAAATTTTGAGCGCATGAAAGTTGCCATATAAATTATTTGTTAGTTCGACATTTAAATTGTGGTTGGCTTACTTCTTATTATCGATTTCTGGCATCCATTCGTACGTATAGTTTCATTTTCCAATTTTTCAAAGTAATTTAAATTGTTTGAAGCGCACTTCCAAATATGTTTTCTATTGACATTCGCATTAGTACATACATATGCATTTATAAGTGTATATATACACACACATATATATACTCATTCGTAGCTGAAAATAAAGACTTTCGACATTTCATTTTCTTTTAAATTCCATTTTTTCATTTTCCCCATAGCAATGTAAAGTTATCCATTGCTTGGCTTGCATACATTTCTGCTGCACATACTTGCCTTATGTTACCGTTAGTAATGGAGGGAAAATGGCTTGGCAATGACAAGCCAACTAAAGTGCTAGCAATTAGTTTGTAGTATACTAATTTTAAAATTTATTGATTTGAAAATGTTGAGTGCGCCAAACCATTCTACTCTACGATCCAAATCTCTCCCCTGTTTACCTGCCAGCAGTTGAGAACTAGCATAGCTAGTTATAATTCTATTAACGTATGGGTTGATGGAATTCACTTGTTTGTTCGTCGTAGTGAGTTTTCTAAACCTTTTTGCGGTTATTTTGGGTTATTTTTAGATTAGCAATGTGCAAAATTAATGAAAGAATTGAAGATATCGAATTTTTCCAGGTAAGCCAAAAGATATGTTAAAGGTTATTTGAATAAACCAAATATTTTGGACTTGGCATTTTATTAAAAAAAAAAAAAACAATTATAAAAGCATACTAGTCTCAAGAAGAATCAAGCTTGTCTAAATTTTTGTATTGTCTTTGTTTAGAATTGTATATGTACTGATATATCCTTTTAATGATTTCGAGACACACTTTGGAAACAATTTGTGCAAATCTTAAATTTAAGAATCAGAATCCTTTCCCATAGCTCCTTAATTTAGTGAATCAATAGTTTTATCAGAAATTTAAATCTCTTCCCATAGCTCTTTGATTTAGTCAACTAATTTTTTTCTCAGAAATTTATATGTTTTCCCATAGCTTCTTAATTTAATCAATTAATATTCCCTCAGAAATTTCAATATTTTCTCCTAACTTGTTAATTTAGTCAATTAATGCATATTTTTTATATATATAATATTAACATAGATTAATTATAAAAGTAGGTATATACTTAATTTATAATGCTTTCTCTCGCTACAAAATATCCAACGGGGCCCAGAACTTTTAATTTGCAACTCACTCATTACATAGTGAATAAACTTCCCTGCCCAATAAGCCAAAGAAATTACTATTAAGCTTCTTTGGTGGATAAGTTTACATACATACTTGTACAATTATGTGTATGCCACTTCTTGATGGAGTAAAATGTGCTGCAAAAACTTTATCAGAAGTACAAAAAAACTCCAATTATGTAGCAGTCAATTAAAGACTTTATTTTAGAACTGTTAGACGTTTGAAAAGGCTATATGCGTTTTTAAGGAAGTGTATACATATGGTGGAAAGTAAAAAATAAAAATTGTATTTTTTTATATTTGTATAAAAAACCAGATAATTTTTATATGCTCATTTTCGTATGGCAATACGCCCACCTTTTCTCTGCTTTTCTCTTGCTTTTATATGTTTATATTTATGTTTTCAACATTTTCGTGAAACACTTTGAAACTTCAACTCCCACGAAGGTAGCATAAATTAACTAATATATGTATGTAAGAACAACAGTGCGTATAAGTAACATAACTTCAACTATTCATCTATATTTTTTTAATATGTACCATAAATATAAA